GAGAATTTGAATATTAATAACATAAACCTTGTATTAGTACGGGAGACAAAGGCAGACTTTCATATTTATATTATCTGTTCCTTCACGTTTTTAATTTCAGTACTGATTGTTCCTTAAAAAAACGAAGTTCGCAAATTTGGCATTTCAGTCAAAAAAACTGTCGTGTTTTTATTTTCAGAGAATTTGAATATTGATAACATAAACCTTGTATTAGTACGGGAGACAAAGGCAGACTTTCATATTTATATTATCTGTTCCTTCACGTTTTTAATTTCAGTACTGATTGTTCCTTAAAAAAACGAAGTTCGCAAATTTGGCATTTCAGTCAAAAAAACTGTCGTGTTTTTATTTTCAGAGAATTTGAATATTGATAACATAAACCTTGTATTAGTACGGGAGACAAAGGCAGACTTTCATATTTATATTATCTGTTCCTTCACGTTTTTAATTTCAGTACTGATTGTTCCTTAAAAAAACGAAGTTCGCAAATTTGGCATTTCAGTCAAAAAAACTGTCGTGTTTTTATTTTCAGAGAATTTGAATATTGATAACATAAACCTTGTATTAGTACGGGAGACAAAGGCAGACTTTCATATTTATATTATCTGTTCCTTCACGTTTTTAATTTCAGTACTGATTGTTCCTTAAAAAAACGAAGTTCGCAAATTTGGCATTTCAGTCAAAAAAACTGTCGTGTTTTTATTTTCAGAGAATTTGAATATTGATAACATAAACCTTGTATTAGTACGGGAGACAAAGGCAGACTTTCATATTTATATTATCTGTTCCTTCACGTTTTTAATTTCAGTACTGATTGTTCCTTAAAAAAACGAAGTTCGCAAATTTGGCATTTCAGTCAAAAAACTGTCGTGTTTTTATTTTCAGAGAATTTGAATATTGATAACATAAACCTTGTATTAGTACGGGAGACAAAGGCAGACTTTCATATTTATATTATCTGTTCCTTCACGTTTTTAATTTCAGTACTGATTGTTCCTTAAAAAACGAAGTTCGCAAATTTGGCATTTCAGTCAAAAAAACTGTCGTGTTTTTATTTTCAGAGAATTTGAATATTGATAACATAAACCTTGTATTAGTACGGGAGACAAAGGCAGACTTTCATATTTATATTATCTGTTCCTTCACGTTTTTAATTTCAGTACTGATTGTTCCTTAAAAAAACGAAGTTCGCAAATTTGGCATTTCAGTCAAAAAAACTGTCGTGTTTTTATTTTCAGAGAATTTGAATATTAATAACATAAACCTTGTATTAGTACGGGAGACAAAGGTAGACTTTCATATTTATATTATCTGTTCCTTCACGTTTTTAATTTCAGTACTGATTGTTCCTTAAAAAAACGAAGTTCGCAAATTTGGCATTTCAGTCAAAAAAACTGTCGTGTTTTTATTTTCAGAGAATTTGAATATTGATAACATAAACCTTGTATTAGTACGGGAGACAAAGGCAGACTTTCATATTTATATTATCTGTTCCTTCACGTTTTTAATTTCAGTACTGATTGTTCCTTAAAAAAACGAAGTTCGCAAATTTGGCATTTCAGTCAAAAAAACTGTCGTGTTTTTATTTTCAGAGAATTTGAATATTGATAACATAAACCTTGTATTAGTACGGGAGACAAAGGCAGACTTTCATATTTATATTATCTGTTCCTTCACGTTTTTAATTTCAGTACTGATTGTTCCTTAAAAAAACGAAGTTCGCAAATTTGGCATTTCAGTCAAAAAAACTGTCGTGTTTTTATTTTCAGAGAATTTGAATATTGATAACATAAACCTTGTATTAGTACGGGAGACAAAGGCAGACTTTCATATTTATATTATCTGTTCCTTCACGTTTTTAATTTCAGTACTGATTGTTCCTTAAAAAAACGAAGTTCGCAAATTTGGCATTTCAGTCAAAAAAACTGTCGTGTTTTTATTTTCAGAGAATTTGAATATTGATAACATAAACCTTGTATTAGTACGGGAGACAAAGGCAGACTTTCATATTTATATTATCTGTTCCTTCACGTTTTTAATTTCAGTACTGATTGTTCCTTAAAAAAACGAAGTTCGCAAATTTGGCATTTCAGTCAAAAAAACTGTCGTGTTTTTATTTTCAGAGAATTTGAATATTGATAACATAAACCTTGTATTAGTACGGGAGACAAAGGCAGACTTTCATATTTATATTATCTGTTCCTTCACGTTTTTAATTTCAGTACTGATTGTTCCTTAAAAAAACGAAGTTCGCAAATTTGGCATTTCAGTCAAAAAAACTGTCGTGTTTTTATTTTCAGAGAATTTGAATATTGATAACATAAACCTTGTATTAGTACGGGAGACAAAGGCAGACTTTCATATTTATATTATCTGTTCCTTCACGTTTTTAATTTCAGTACTGATTGTTCCTTAAAAAAACGAAGTTCGCAAATTTGGCATTTCAGTCAAAAAAACTGTCGTGTTTTTATTTTCAGAGAATTTGAATATTGATAACATAAACCTTGTATTAGTACGGGAGACAAAGGCAGACTTTCATATTTATATTATCTGTTCCTTCACGTTTTTAATTTCAGTACTGATTGTTCCTTAAAAAAACGAAGTTCGCAAATTTGGCATTTCAGTCAAAAAAACTGTCGTGTTTTTATTTTCAGAGAATTTGAATATTGATAACATAAACCTTGTATTAGTACGGGAGACAAAGGCAGACTTTCATATTTATATTATCTGTTCCTTCACGTTTTTAATTTCAGTACTGATTGTTCCTTAAAAAAACGAAGTTCGCAAATTTGGCATTTCAGTCAAAAAAACTGTCGTGTTTTTATTTTCAGAGAATTTGAATATTGATAACATAAACCTTGTATTAGTACGGGAGACAAAGGCAGACTTTCATATTTATATTATCTGTTCCTTCACGTTTTTAATTTCAGTACTGATTGTTCCTTAAAAAAACGAAGTTCGCAAATTTGGCATTTCAGTCAAAAAAACTGTCGTGTTTTTATTTTCAGAGAATTTGAATATTGATAACATAAACCTTGTATTAGTACGGGAGACAAAGGTAGACTTTCATATTTATATTATCTGTTCCTTCACGTTTTTAATTTCAGTACTGATTGTTCCTTAAAAAAACGAAGTTCGCAAATTTGGCATTTCAGTCAAAAAAACTGTCGTGTTTTTATTTTCAGAGAGAATTTGAATATTGATAACATAAACCTTGTATTAGTACGGGAGACAAAGGCAGACTTTCATATTTATATTATCTGTTCCTTCACGTTTTTAATTTCAGTACTGATTGTTCCTTAAAAAAACGAAGTTCGCAAATTTGGCATTTCAGTCAAAAAACTGTGGTGTTTTTATTTTCAGAGAATTTGAATATTGATAACATAAACCTTGTATTAGTACAGGAGACAAAGGTAGACTTTCATATTTATATTATCTGTTCCTTCACGTTTTTAATTTCAGTACTGATTGTTCCTTAAAAAAACGAAGTTCGCAAATTTGGCATTTCAGTCAAAAAAACTGTCGTGTTTTTATTTTCAGAGAATTTGAATATTGATAACATAAACTTTGTATTAGTACAGGAGACAAAGGTAGACTTTCATATTTATATTATCTGTTCCTTCACGTTTTTAATTTCAGTACTGATTGTTCCTTAAAAAAACGAAGTTCGCAAATTTGGCATTTCAGTCAAAAAAACTGTCGTGTTTTTATTTTCAGAGAATTTGAATATTGATAACATAAACCTTGTATTAGTACGGGAGACAAAGGCAGACTTTCATATTTATATTATCTGTTCCTTCACGTTTTTAATTTCAGTACTGATTGTTCCTTAAAAAAACGAAGTTCGCAAATTTGGCATTTCAGTCAAAAAAACTGTGGTGTTTTTATTTTCAGAGAATTTGAATATTGATAACATAAACCTTGTATTAGTACAGGAGACAAAGGTAGACTTTCATATTTATATTATCTGTTCCTTCACGTTTTTAATTTCAGTACTGATTGTTCCTTAAAAAAACGAAGTTCGCAAATTTGGCATTTCAGTCAAAAAAACTGTCGTGTTTTTATTTTCAGAGAATTTGAATATTGATAACATAAACTTTGTATTAGTACAGGAGACAAAGGTAGACTTTCATATTTATATTATCTGTTCCTTCACGTTTTTAATTTCAGTACTGATTGTTCCTTAAAAAAACGAAGTTCGCAAATTTGGCATTTCAGTCAAAAAAACTGTCGTGTTTTTATTTTCAGAGAATTTGAATATTGATAACATAAACCTTGTATTAGTACGGGAGACAAAGGCAGACTTTCATATTTATATTATCTGTTCCTTCACGTTTTTAATTTCAGTACTGATTGTTCCTTAAAAAAACGAAGTTCGCAAATTTGGCATTTCAGTCAAAAAAACTGTGGTGTTTTTATTTTCAGAGAATTTGAATATTAATAACATAAACCTTGTATTAGTACGGGAGACAAAGGTAGACTTTCATATTTATATTATCTGTTCCTTCACGTTTTTAATTTCAGTACTGATTGTTCCTTAAAAAAACGAAGTTCGCAAATTTGGCATTTCAGTCAAAAAAACTGTGGTGTTTTTATTTTCAGAGAATTTGAATATTGATAACATAAACCTTGTATTAGTACGGGAGACAAAGGTAGACTTTCATATTTATATTATCTGTTCCTTCACGTTTTTAATTTCAGTACTGATTGTTCCTTAAAAAAACGAAGTTCGCAAATTTGGCATTTCAGTCAAAAAAAACTGTGGTGTTTTTATTTTCAGAGAATTTGAATATTGATAACATAAACCTTGTATTAGTATGGGAGACAAAGGTAGACTTTCATATTTATATTATCTGTTCCTTCATTTAGGTATATGAAATAGTTCATAATAATGTTAATATTTGTTTCCAAACTTTTGTCCGCTACGGTATTAGCCTTTTATTACCCATCAACAAAAAATTTTGCTTAATTCTGGCACTGAAAACAGGTTTCACTTTCAGAAGTACAACCGACATCATCCTTGTCAAACTATGACATAGAAGATGTAAAGGAAAGCGTCAGACAAGGAGTTACAAAAGTAGCTGGGAAACTAGGTTCTCTTGCCAATGGACTAATGTCTTCTATACAGGTAAAGTTGACGTATATCATACATCTTTAAAATTTTATGGATATTTGTTATACTGAAGCAGCAGGATACCTTACTGTTACGAGTGTAATCCCAAAAGTAAGGTCTCCTATTTTCTTTTAAAAATGCATTTTTTGTGAATTTTATTGTGCATTTTTTCTTCAATCAGCACTTGTTAACAAATATGAGTACAGCTCTGAAATTGTCTGTAAATATTCCTCTTTTATGGGAGAATGAAACAAGTGATTACTTTTGTGCTTACCACTTTTTCTTTTCGAAAAATCTTTGATTTTCTTGAAGCCTCGTCTCGCAGCAAGTTTGGTTTTTAAGAAAAGAAATTTTTTTTCGAAGAGATGACACTATGATTTATATAAGTACTAAAAATATTCAGTCTGGTATATCTTATATAAATGAAGACTTGAAGCTTGTCTCAAAATGGTTAGCATCTAACAGACTAAAATTAAATGCAAGTAAAACGAAAGCCTTGTTAATCGGAAAAAAACAATGTACAAATGTTCAACTGAATATTGATGGCGAAGATATTGAATTCGTAGAAAATTTTAAATACCTGGGGGTTTTTGTTGACTCTCGATTAATTTTTGAAATTCATTATGAAAAAGTTATAAATAAGATTAGTAGTAAAGTGGGATATTTATCGAGAGTTTCTGGATGTCTGAGTTCATATAGCAGAAAAATTATCTATAATACCATCATTCTTCCAAATTTCTTGTACTGTTCGACTATTCTATATTTAGCAAATAATTCCATTTTTGAAAGATTGCAAATTTTACAAAATAAGTGCATGAGAATAATACCAAATAAAGATAAATATACTCCAATTAGGCAAATGCTTAGCAAATTAAAATGGCTCAATGTAAAAATTTTATCAAATATCTTGTAATGATATTCATTTATAACGTAAAAAATAATATATTTCCATCGTCTAACTAATTTAACATCATAAATGTCGACCATCATTTACATAATACCAGAAATAAAGATGACTTCCATTTAATGACCAAAAAGTATAACATATGCTACAAATCTGTATTCCATCAAAGGTTGATTGAATATAATAAATTATACTCGGAGATAAAAGACCAGAAAACTTTGACAAAATTTAAAGTAAAATTGAGAAATCACTTGTTAAATCTACAATTATAGGTTGCCCAGCATTTACATCATACACCATATGGCTTGAATTGACTAGTTCTAAGTTGTTTACAATTGTTCTGTTTCATGAAGTAATCAGATGAAAAAGACTTAGAATACTGTTGCAAACAGGTAGTTGAAAAAAAAAGCGAAAAAAGGGACGTGCAGCCTTAAGGATAATGCTGTATCAGTTGTTGCAAATACATGATTTATGAAATTTTAAAAAATAGACCGTACCATCAGGATTACCCTACTATTAAAAATGACGAAACCGTGTTGCTCCGAGTCTGGTATTATCCGCATTAGTATATATTCTTCTGGCAGCCTATTTCACAATTTGGTCACTCTAGGAACAAGTGATTGACAATACCGTCCAGTTTAAAAAACACGATGTGTTTGTAGACCATTTTGCGTCAATAGTTACCACTTTTTTTACAGGATCGCTATGGTTACTAGCATACAGCCTGCATTCATAGCATAGATGAGAATCTTCTGCAAGAGTTGGAATCAGACAAGTCACTGTTTATAGACGCTACATGTTACAAACGCGAATAAAGGTGCCTTTTGGTATTAAAGTCGTCGAAAATTTGGTGAGTGGCGTGCGTACATCGTTGTCGAAATTGTGGTGTTTATGTAGTTATAGTTGACGACAGGCTTATAGTGTCTGTTTACGGTTTTTATCGACGGTGAAGAAGCAGAAAGAATGCAAAGAAACGCTATAAGTCTGTCGTGAACTATAAAGATATTAGTGTGAAAAAGTACAAATTTAAAGGCCAGTTTTTCGTAATCCATATCGAACTAAAATTACAAGAAACATTCCTAGTTATTTAGTGCAGTTTGACTTTTTTGTGGGTGAAAATTTACAGTAGTTCTATACAGAATCATTTTAGGCATATATCACAACCATTCCTTCATTTTTGTCTTCAGAAGAAGATGAGACATCGATGTACGTATATTCTTTACCTTATTCCATAAACAATAAAATATCAGAATATTCCGGTAAAATTGAATAATTTTAGAATGTATTTCGTATATGAAGGAAGTTGTTGCGCGTATTATTATACGCGTGTTTTCATTTTTTTGTTTTGTAGAGAATGCATATTTTATTGTAAAATAATTTTACGATTGGTGTATGAACTGTACATTGATATAAATAAACAGATAGTGCTTTAAGAGTTGTTTTATTATAACGAAAATACATTAAAAGTATCAAAATCCCAAAACTGATTTATTTGAATCATAGCCAAAACATTCAACTAATCTACCTATTAACATTTTTTAAGCGAGAAAAATGCTTCGCTACAACTTTTGATAGAATTTTCCAAAATTGAATATTTATTGGTATCACCTTCAACTATTTGGAAAACATTACGCCTCAAATCTTACGTATCTCCATTAATATTAGTGCATATTTTCTTTATAACATTTTTTGTTAGGATTTTGCGAAATCGCAAAGGTTCCCCGCAGAGTCCGAACAAGGCTAAAACTATAGATGAGTGTTAACACCAATTCCATTACACCTTAGTTCTTTTTCGATATTTTCATACTATCGAATTTATATTCACCCATCACTACTCGAATCATGCCAATTCTGTGGTTTAAGGCACAGAATACTCAGTGCAGTGTTGTCGGACGTACCGATTTTTCGGTGCTTCTACCGAAATGTGAAGTTTACCGAAAACATTTCCACGATTTTTTGAGATAACTCAGATATTAACTCTTTTTTACCAGAAAAGAGCTAGAACTAGAAATAAAGCTGGAAAAATTAAACCTTAAAACCAAATGAAGATATTGCTTAGTTTGAAAAAGTACAAATCTAACGGCTAGTTTTTCGTAATTAGAGACATTCCTAGTTATTTAGTACAGGTTGACTTTGTGGACGAAAATTTACAGCACTTCTATACAAAATCATTTTGGGTGCATATAACTTAACCATTCCTTCAAAGTTTTTTTTTCGAAAGTAAGATGAGACGTTGATGTACGTGGATTATTTACCTTATCCCATAAACAATAAAATATCAGAATATTCCGGTGAAATTAATTAATTTTAGAATGTATTACGCGTATTATCATACACGTATTTTCATTTTTTTGTCTTGTTTTGTAGAGAATGCTTATTTTATTTTACAATTGCTGTATAAACTGTACATTGATATAAATAAACAGATAGTTCTTGTTATTTTATTATAACGAAAATACATGTTGAAAGTACAAAAGTCTCAAGACTCTAAACAGAAAAATGAATTAATTTGAATCATAGCACCATCATGTAAAAAACCTACAAAACGTCAAAAAAAAACCTATTAAGATGTCAACTTGTAGACTAGGTAGTTTTTTAGGGTGCAAGCAGTCATTCCACATTTGCTCACTAGGATCGTTGTGAACGTCCATCTATGGGGGAATCACTCAACTAAGCTATACACGCATTATTGGTTGCATAGTTTTGTGAGGCGAAATGGTCCTTGTCTGTAGTTTTTATCTCTGAGAAGAAAGTTGGTTGGATAGCAAGATCGCATCTGGTTGATTATGTGTATCGTGGTGATACCCGCGCGGATCTACGGCTACCAGCGCAAATTGCAACGTTGCCATGTACAACTTGTTGCTAGTTCTCCATATAGTTCAAAACGGTCCTCGCAGAACCCTAACAAAACAAAACTATAGCTGCGTGCTAACACCAATTTCATTCCACCTATCTTTTTTGATATATACATCTTATCGAATTTGTACTACTCATCTCATACCAATTCTCTAGTTCAAGGTTCTGTGGTTCAAGGCATAGAATACTCAATTCAGTGCTACGTTGCCGGACTTTCTACCGAAAACGCCATTTCTCATGATTTTTTGAGATAATTCAGACACAGTTTTATACCAAAAAAGAGCTAGAGCTTATAATAAAGCTGAAGAAATTAAATCCATGTCGTAGTCTATGCAATTTTATGATCCATACCAATCATATTTATGCGTACGTTTATGCAGCCGAAAACACGACGGACCAGTCACCTCAAACGTAATTTGGGTTGCCTATAACTTTGTAACGCACATCCATTTACCCCGGTTTTTCTGTACTGGTTTTTGTGCGTACCACGGGTACGGTAAATCACCATCATTATCATCGGACAAGCAATAAGAAAACTAAGATTCAATTGAATATTAGATACAAATTCTAGATGGCGAAGCTTCAATTTCAGGGATACACCAAAAATATTTACAATCTCATAAGCACGAATGAAAAAAGCAGTTTCCAGGATCGTCGCAAGGGAGTTTCAAGACCGACCCGTATGCTAATTATACGAGTATAAGTTGTAATAAAGAAGCCAGTATTTTTTTCAAGAAAAGATGGCCTCAAAAAACCTGTGTTGTGTGGGAGCGCAAACATGTGACTCAAACGCCCTTGAACCACCGCTGATCTTGCGAGGGCCCTGATTTTTTTCTCACCGATTTTGTCCTCAAATCTACCGAATTTCAACATCACGGCACTATCTAGATATATCTACGGATTTCGTCTTCTTCTGTTCGGCAACACTGTGTCAGTATTATGTTCTTCAATGTATATGTTCTGTGAGGCATAAAATAATTGTCAAATAATTCCCTGAATAATCAAATCCAAGCGAATAACCAAAATTTCTGTGTTATGTGCCGCGGTTATAATATGGTTCAAGATGACACACGGGTTGATGACGTCAGTTACACTAATCGCTTGAACGCGTTGGTTTTAACCGCGGTTTTGTTGCAAGTTGTTTATTTTAGAAACGCGCGTATATAATCTCTGATTATTTTTATTATCACTTAATAATCGGTGCTTTTTCGTCTACAACTGTATATGGAAAGTTTAAATAAGAAACCTTTCATAATATTCATGGGAGAAATGTTTTTTTCAGATTTTTTTTTTAATGATGGAACCATGGCTTTGTAGCTATGATATTTTTCAATTCTATAAATTTTTCCGCATGTCAAAGAAAACATTTATTGATTCAGCAGAAATGATGAAAAAAGAAATTAGCAAAACCGTATACAGGTGGATATCATCTACTGAGTTTATATGGCCATATTTTAATATTCTTGTGGTATATGGCTACACAGGATACTTTGTTAAGCATAGGAACTACATTTAAAGTGTCCCCAACAACCGTAATGAGTATAACTAATAAGGTGCTCCACTTTATGGTAAAACTGAAGTCAGCCTGTATCATTTTTCTCAAAAATGAAGCTGAAGTACAATAACAATATCCAATACCCGGCAAAATTTTAACTTGTCACATTTCAAATAATAACCAGAAATATAAAACAGGTGGATTCTTTAATTCACCGGTTGATTCCACCACTGATGCTTATGGTTGACACTGTTGACAGCTTTGTATGGTGATGGCAGCAACCGGTTGAATTAAAAGGACAGATGTCTGGTCCACCGGTGGCACCGGTTGCTCAACCGGTGAATTAAAAAATACACCAAACTACTCTTGAGTTGGGTAAATACCACAATTTTGCGGTGATAACTATGACATCTAACAGCTGATTCGTGACGTCACGGATCTTATAACCAAACTGATAACTACACTCGCTTGAACGGATTGGTAAATACCAACCCAAAATGGTAAATACCATTTTCATTTGGTTATTCGCTTGAATTTGATTAATGCCTTGTACCTAAACCTATACAAACTTTTATATTTCATGACTTTTTGTAAATTTGCGAATATTTCTGGCTAAGCGGTCACTTGAAATGGATAATTTGAAAAACAACAGGAATTTTTATGAAATCGATAAACCGTCGTGTGCTAAACGGAGACTCCACACTAAAAACAGAAGGTAAATAGAAAATGCACGTAATATTAGATTAAAGTTTCTCCTAATTCTCGGTGATTTTCTGATTGATAAATGAAACCACATAATAATGAACGTCTTTGTATATTGTCATTGTACACCAAGGTTGTTTCATTTGGAAAATAATGGACTAAAACAAGAAACACTATTCATTTTCATCAAAACTGGGTATTGACCAAGCATTGGCTGTTTGACCAAAATTATTTTTTCAGTGTGGAAAATGATGGAACCTCAATGTATCACTCTCAAGGGAAAGTTGAAACCTGTAGAGACCAGTTGAAGTGCAGTCATTGCAACTATCTTTTTCGTAGTAAATATCTTCTAGATAAACACCTGGAAGTACACAATAATGGAAATGACATCAACCATTGGTGTGTGGAGTGTAACACAGCATTTAAAAAAAAGACATGTCTAGATGAACACATAATTCAGATACATCCTAATCTGATCACCTCCTTGCCACCCACAATGCATGCATGCACATATTGTGATTTTAAAACAATTTTTAAAGCTTCTTTAGTGAAACAAACGCTGAACCATCCTCAATATTGGTCAAGTCTGAAAATGCATCGTAACAAAACATCTTCTAGCAAGGAGAGTTTGGATAATCATTCCATTGAATATCGTCATATAATGCTTCAGAAAAAGACATACCATTGTGAAATATGTGACTATAAAACTCTGCAAAAAAGGAAATTAGATTCTCATAATAGAAACATGCATTCTTCGAGTTTTAACATACCTGTATATTCTTGTAATTACTGTGATGAAAATTATAATCATCAAAGGTCATTAGATGATCATATTGTTAAAATTCATCCAGAATCCAGCTCTACGATTACCAGCATTCTGCATAAATGCTCTAGTTGCTCTTACACATCTACTTTTAGAGGTAATTTAGATCGACATCTTAAAAGATGTAAAATATTATCTAACAAAGATGTATCTGAAAACCTCATGTGTAAATGTGATTGTGGTTATGTAACAACTGATAGGAATATGTTTTACAGACATATGTCAACTCATCTACTGACCATTGAAGATATTAAATCTACCATTTGTATTTTCTGTAATCTTGAATTTAAATCGACATACTTTTTAGATGAACATATACTGAATAACCATCCGCATTACATTGCTTGTATTACCAGTCAAGTGTATGAATGCATATATTGCCCTTATAAAACCCTTAAAAATTTTCGTTTTAATCATCATATTCGTTTTAAACATTCTGAAGAAGAATCATTTTGTAAGTCTGGAAAACGTGTTCACCTTACTTATACAAAAAATACCTGTTTGGATGAGTATGAAGGGTACAGGGTAAAAACGAGTGATATACACGGTAGCCCAAAGTGAAAACAGGCCAAACATTTTTTAATGGAAAATCCTTTTTATTTTTGTATTTGCAGATTCTCCTTATGATTTTAAACATTTTTTATATGTTAACGTCCATGCCTGAATTGAACTTTTTTTGAAATATTGAGCCCAGAAATGAGCCTTTCGTCATATGCAACACACTGTAAAATCTAAGGGTTGATTAACCAGCAAAATGCCTATCTTAGATTTTACAATCTGTACCAATATGGGAACTACCTGAACAGGAAATTTATTACCCGAACTGTCATTCACAAAACATCTGTCACTGTTTTGTGTGTTTCCGATACCCCCATCGGATTGTACTTCGTTAAGACTACGTGTTGCCGGTTCTAACTACTAATCAGCAAATTTGTGAGACATCTAAATACATTGTGTCAATTCAAAATTGTACGCTCCAACTGAAAGTAGATCATCATTTATTCCAGATGTGCATTTTATAAAAACTGTGGTAACCATATATTTAAACAGTTAAGTTGTATACAGAGTGTCTCAGAATGACATGTTAATTACCACCACCATGTGAGGTCCCAGCTATTCGCTCAACTGTTAGTGGTGGAGCCTAAGAGGCTAAACGGGAAGCTACTCGATGTCTTAGAGCAGTGGTTCCTAACCTTTTCAATGTCACTACCCCTGTGAACAAGTATGGGAATTGAGTTTACCCCTAGCCAATTTAAAATAATTAAAACCACACAAATTCGAACGAAAATATGTTTATTATCTAACTAAATTCTAAGAAATTGCACGTTTAGGTAACTAGTAAAGTAAAGTAATATGTAAATCTTGGAGTTAACTAGTGTGAAGGTTGAAATTGCTTTGCATTCGCAAGTTTGACAATATTAGGTTCGGTTTCACTCAACGCGCATCTCATGTCATGCTCAACATTCAGACGGTTTCTGGCTTTTGTTTTTAATGTAACAAGAGTTGAGAAACCAGTTTCACATCTGTAAGTTGTAGCAAATGGAATCAACATTTTTAAAGCTCTGTCAGCTATAATGGGATATTCTGCAGCTGCTTTTCGCCAAAATGTGCTTAGTTTATCATTTTGAAAATCAACTTTCAATGAGTTATTCTCACGCAGCCCGAGAAACTCTACTTTCGCTGACACATCTTCGTCCTTGAAAATATCGACGCAAGTAGAAAATGGTCTTAAAATCCAGGAGTAGGACTCACGACTGTCCATGTTCGGAAAATATTGCTGCAGTGAGTCTATCACGGCAGTTAAATGTTGAACCACGGAATTTTCAAACGAGATTTTCTCTTGTTTATTATTTACTAATTGCTCACTTAGTTGTGTAAACATTGACACATCACCAGCTTGAACTCTGCGTTGGTAAAGTTCCAATTTGCGCAAAAAACTTGCGATTTTATCCTGCAACGTCAAAATATTCGTTTCATTTCCTTGCAGTGAAATATTCAGACTATTAATTTCAGTGAAAAAATCAGCAAGGTACGCCATTTTTAGAATAAATGTTTGGTCTTTAATTTTTGCATAATATTCTTTTTCTTTTTGTGTTCTCTGATTTTCAAAAAACAATCCAATTTCTTCTCGTAATTCGTAAACCCTACTTAGAACTTTGCCTCTTGATAACCAACGTACCTCTGTATGGTACAAAAGAGCATTAAATGTAGCACCAACTTCATCGCACAAAACTTTGAATAATCTTGAGTTAGTAGCGCTGCCTCGAATATGATTAACAATTTTTACTATGTCACTCAACGTGTTTAGCAAATCTGATGGAAGCGTTTTCACAGCCAAAGCGTAACGGTGTATCAAGCAATGATAGCCGAAAACTTGAGGAGCAACTTGCTTCACGAGTGCCTGAAAACCAGAACGGATGCCCATCATGGAAGGCGCCCCGTCTGTACAAGTACCAATCAGCTTTAACCAGTCTAGGCCATTTTCCTCAATAAACTCTTTTAGCGTTTGAAATACGTCTTCGCCGCGAGTAGTAGTGGGCAAAGACTTGCAGAACAAATATTCCTCCTTTACATCATCATCTTTAATGTATCGTGTAAACACCAATAATTGTGAACACGAAGCAACATCTGTGGACTCGTCCAACTGCAGCGCAAACATATGACTTTCCTTTATTTCAGAAATAACGGTTGCTAGAATATCGGCACTCATTTCACATATGCGACTTTGAATAGTAGTGTTTGAGAGTGAGATTTGTTTAATCTTAGCTACATGTTGCTCACCAATAACAAGTGCTACTGCATCTAACAAGCAAGGTTTGATGAGGTCCTCTCCTATAGTGTGTGGTTTTTTATTACGTGCGATGCGATAAGCAATTTTGTATGAAGCTTGAAGGCATGATTCATTTGCTTTCTGTATATTGCCTGTTGAATCCATGCGGGAAGACTTCAGAATCCTCTCCTTTTTCTTAAAAAAATCTATATTTTTATCTGCGAACTCCTTGTGAACTTTAGCAAAATGTTCTTTTAATTTGCTCGGTTTCATGCTTTCTGGATTAAGCACTTTATTACATAAAACACACTGAGGCTTTTCTATATTTTTGTCTACGATGCTTGTGAAACCCCATTGTAGAAATGCTTCTTTATAAGTGCGCTTTTTGCCAGATGAAGTAGAAGCCATGTCAAAAACACCTGTAGGTACCTAAAACAAAAATCAACTAATACATACCTACGTAAACAAATCACTCGTGACAATATTAACGTGACGATATTAACAAACACTGCTTACCTTTGAATTTAAACCGTTTAAAAATACGATTTCTGCAACGCGCGGCGGAACAAATAAAATGCGTGTTCTTCCTAAGCTTAGGTAAACAAAATGAACATCGCCGCCTGTCCGGCCCGCCGCTAGTCATGCTTCACCCCTCCCACACCGCAGCTCACCCGCCGCCGTCGCCGTCAGCCGCGCGCATGAGAGCGCCGTGCTACCGTTTACCGTACTATTATTTTGTTTATTGCTATTTTAATACTATTTCGTGCCATCCCGTGTTACCCCCTTAGAATCTCCGTTTTACCCCTGCGGGGGTAATTACCCCCAGGTTAGGAACCACTGTCTTAGAGACATATTGGGTTCTGAAGGTTAGATTTCAGAAAGAAAAGAGTGGTAGGGGGTTATATCTCGGCAATCGATTTTGCTGGAGATTATTTTCAGCATCATAAAATGACTGCTAGGGGGCGTAACTCTAACTTCAAAATTAGACTTTTAGATCCATAATTAACATATATTTGGGATAGCTTCGTTCGATGGTATTCGTGTTTTGCAGCCTTTTTTTTGAAAGAATTTTTTTGTAAGTCGATTGTTTTGAGGTGGAAGCGTTCAAGGTCATTTCAGAGAAAGTGGTGTAACTTCTGATTGGCATTATCGATATTCATGGTCTTGATTTCATTAAAAAGGGCTTAAAAGGTTGCTTATGATGAATGTTGTCTTATACCTGAAAAAAAATGACCTTAGTATTTCTAACGATTGATTTTATTTTTTTACTATGTTGGATTATACTGTGTCCAATTGCGGATTTAGAGATCTGTAAGGGCGTGCGCAGTGATGGTCACAGGATTCACGTTCAAAAGGCTGTTCATCTCAAGGGGACAATAATCGTGTCGTTAAGTTAATTATTTACGCAAAACCGCCGTAGGATTTATTTTAATACGAAGTTGTGTCAGTGTTTTGTAGTGTTCTATATGTGTACGAGAGGTTGGCATGTATTTCTGCGACACCCTGTATACTATATATTAGAATATTTATAAGTTTTTAAAACTGTATTTTTAGATATTCAATAAAAATATAAAAACCTATGAGTAATTCATAATTTGATAATATTCACATTACATAAGGCTTATGTTCGTCGGTCCCTTTGCCATTACTCCGAATAAGGTAACCAGATTTTAACACAAGGTTATTCAGACCATGAAATATCTCCGCATCTGATGGGAAAATATTTTGAATCCGACTCTGATAGGTTCCTGTTCAACAAACACAAGACTGTGCGACCTGTCATGCCGTTAAAACTATAGATGAGTGTTAGCACCAATTTCATTCCACTACGCTTCTTTTTTCGATATTTTCTGACTATCGAATTTGTATTTACCCATCACTGCTCAAAACGATTTCAATTGTCTACTTCAAGGTACGACGAGCCGATTTAGCAAAAATGTCGGTTTACACACACACACGTCCTCTAACAGACTTGTGCACAGAACCTCGTGTAAATCGCCAGTATGAATGAATGAACTTTCGGTTGCTGTTCTTAAATAGGAAAATACGACAGCTAAACAATGAAAAAGTGTAGTGTGGCTTCATGCTTGCACAGATTAGATCGCGTCGCGTGTAAACTGGGCTTAATTGGTCAATTGCGCTGTTGCCAGGGTCGGTTCGTTGTCGTCAATACCGCGATTTTTGCTTTTTTGGGGGAAAGTAGAGTAAAATAACAAATTTTCACTGTAATAATTTTATTGATATTTCAGAGCAATAGCGACGAGTCCATTACAACTTATATCTTGGGCTGTCAGTTTTGTTATCAATAGATATCTTCTCTTTAAGTAACGTAAAACACTCAAATGCGTAATATATAAAAAAATAAGTACTAAACTGATTAAATGAAGGGATACAAAAATTAAATTATAATACTTAAAGTAAAAATTAAAAAATGAAATATTATGAGCTAGTTATTATTGAACGCTTAATTATTTCAATACATAAAAGTTCACTTCACGGAAGTGTAGTTTATATCTACTTACTTTTTTCAAATTCGTTACAAGAATAATACTTATCTACATTATTTGTTCATAACGAAATGTAACAATGTAAAATCATTTAAAATTTATTCCACGATCGTTTAATTCCGTAATAAATCGACAAAAATATACTTTTCAATGAGATAAAATGAATCGATCTGTATTTTGTTTTCAATACAAAGAAATGTTGTCGATGAGTTATTGCGTTTCTAAGATATGTCTCTTTAACAACAGAACATGAAGTAAGCTGAAACCAAAGCTGAAGATTAGTTTACAATAATTTTAATATTAGTAAATATTATATAAAAAATCTAAGCGATATAGCTAGGAATCTGTCCTATCAGTAAATTTCTACATGATGTAGCATAAACGACATGAATGTTATAAATAACTATACATAGGTATTTACAGTAATAGTTTATTGCTAAAAAAATACTATAACGTGTATTACCAACAAAAACATACGTTGTAGTTGAAGGTAGGGTGGTATTTATGGGTGGTATATAGGTAGGTCACCTTTATATCATCAAGCAGTTTAAAAAGGCATAACATTTTAAAAATGAAAATGTTTGATAATTTTGATTACACAGAAAATTATGAATTTTGAACATTTCTAGAACTCAAATTTTGAGACATTTGAAAATTCTGAAAGATTTTAGAAATCTGAAAAATTACAAAATCTTGAGTATTTTGAATAAATTGAAAATTTTGATCTTGAAAGTTTGGAGAATGTTGAAAATTCTGAAAACTTAAAACACAGCCTGTTACTAGTATGTGTAAAGGCAAAAAGTTAAATCTCCATTGGAGGGTAACTCAAGGGTAACAATTATTCGTTTGAAATCTGGGGATTGATCAACCCCTCATCCCCCCCCCTTTAGCACTCAGCCTTTAGGGGTCGACTATGAATGGAGTCCTAAAATCACCTTGATAAATGAGTTTGACCTTACGTTTGTTCTCGAGGCATTTCAAGGTCAAGGTAGTTTCTTGTTTGTATCGTGTACCCCTTCAATTTTTGGTCTTGAGCAAAATACATCTCAATAATTCAAAATAAACATTTCAAACTGTTAGATATTTCGGTTGGCCTTAAAAAGCTTGAATGATGATTAAAGGATTAATACTAGTAGGAGGAATATTATACTACAGTATGACCCCTATGAGTGAGATACGACGAGGCAAAAATCTCGCATTTTCGTGGAAAAGAAATTCCGATTCGATTTTTTGTCTTTTTTATTGGCGGCGACTGAAAAAACTGGGTAGGAAAGAATTTTTCTCCTAAGGATGCGAGATTTTTTCACCTTATCTTTGACTATATAGCCCACGTAAAAATGGCAACCTTGCATGCAGACATATACGACAGCGTTGCCATTTTATTGGTTGCATACTACTTCTTTACACATTACGGTATGTGTGCGTAACATAATTGTATTGTAAATATTGTTTAGCTGCCTGTAGATACTATATTTGTACACACCCTACGCAGTGTCCAATATATTCTGCCATATTGACATCAGAATTGTGTCAACGACGTTTATTGAAGTAACAAAACATGTTTGGACATCTTTATAGCTCAATTTATATTGTTTCTTATAAAGAGAGACATTAGCAGAACACAAGAATGAATTTAGCAATCCACTTTGAAAAGACTTAATGTTTTCAATCGCTTTTCGGTGCCTCACTAATGTCTATTTGGGCGAGTAGGAAAACTATGGGATTTCAAACACAAAATGACGTTCACCTTGACAAAATTTTAGGGCCGCTCATGTTTAGCCGTGCGCGTTGTTACATACCACGTTCCACATTGGAACTACTGTTACTTCACTCCTCCAAGTGACATATGACATTTCCAATGTGAAACGTGTTATGTAACAAGGCGCACTGGTAAACAAGCGCGGCGCGAACACGTTGTCAAGGGAGACCTTAAAGTCTATTTGAGTTTCAAATTCCATAGTTCGCCTACTTGGGTATGTTTAGGTGGAATAGATTGATCAATGCCTGAGGATAGTGAATTATTCGTTCAACTTAGATTTAAAAATTGATATTTGTTTTGCTATTGTCTCGTAGATAGCTCTAGGATCTATCAGATCCCTTTTTGGGTGCCGAAATTACAGTATATTCAGTAACGCCAGTCTGTTACATGATAAATTAAGCTATTTTGACGACTCTGTGGTATCTGAAAGCATATATAAATGAGACGTATGCTTCAACATTCAATTCGACAACAAAAGTCCGTATAATTCATCTCTGTATTGATTGTCCTTAAATATTACAAGCAGATCAAACAAGCCTATCATTTGAAATTCATTTAAAATTCATTTGTTTCCTATGTAATTTTACATTACAATTTACACTGCTCAATATAAGTGACTATATATGAAAACGAAAAAAAGTCTAACCAACATTCAAATTATGTACATTTGGAGCCATATAGGATCTCGAAAAGGGACCAATACATGCAAGCATGTAGCCGTATTGCTTTTAAGTGTGTACTAAATTTTACAATATATTCACTTTTTTCGTATACCAGAAGTTCCAGGTTTTTCCAAATGAGCCTTGTTGGTATCTGTGTAGTTTCAAATTTATCAATCTATATAAAGAAGTCACAAAATCTACTATCCAAAGATCATATTACGTGAAACTTTTTATTATATAATGTGCATTCTTCATTGGGCTCGATCCTCTATAATTTGTGTATTTTCGTGTTTTGTGAAATTTTTAAACAAGGTGTTCGAACAATAGACGGCGATGTTTTGTGTGATAAATTTAAAAAAAATTAACATCTTAAAAAATATTCACTCGATTCTGTTGAAATTTGGCAATATTATTTGCTGTATTAAGAGACTGATGTGGCCCTGAATAGACTAAAATTATCAGGTCCAGTGGCATCTTGAGGGGCAACTTAGCGAAAATTATTGGCAAAATAATGTACGCCATTGCATTTTCTGTAACATTGCATCTTGGTATTTTTTTCGTAAATCTCTTCCTTTTCGAGAAAAAAAAAAATAAAAACAGTTTTATTGCATGTCACTGTACAAAATTGGTTTATTAATTTTTGCACATTTGTTGTAATGTACTTTCCGAGGTTTTTTTTTTATTTTTTGTGTTCCAAGGCCGCACTTGTGATTTTTTTAGCAAATATTAATAAACCAATTTTGTCTAGAGACATGCAATAAAATGGTTTTTATTTCTTTTTAGATACGAAAAAAAAAATACAAGAGACAAAGAATTTGAATTTTTAGATGCTTAAACAACAAATATTGAAGATACAAAAAAGGCAGTAGCGTACATTTTTTTGCTAATAATATTCTAAGGTGCCCCCGGGACGCCACTAGACTTGATGATTTTAAACTATTTGTGGCTAAATTAGCCTCTCAATACAACATATAATATTTACAAATTTCAACAGAATCGAGTAATATTATCTAAGATATTAATAAAACTTTTTTTTAAATTCATCACCCTGTATCATGGAAACTGCATTTCCGGACCCATGTTTATAGAAACTTTAAATTTTTTTTAACTTTTAATATTTTTTTAACAAGGAATCGCCTTCTAAAATATCTCAGTCTCTTTTCTGTATAATGTGATTTCATCTATGTGTGTATTTCCGTAGTTTGTGAAATTTTTATATATTGTTCATGTTTGGTTTTTTTAATGAATGTTTATTTTATACATACGCACAGACTATTTGTACAGCGACTAAATTGCTTTTTCAATGACAAAATAGTAAAACTATCATTTAAAGGATAAGAAATCTATTTATTTATTATTGAAGAATCGGTTACTGAAAATCTATGGCGTACTTATTAATGTTTCATTAAAAGCAGTAACAGATACCAATCAAACTCTTTAAAAAACCTTTTAAAACTTCTGGTTAAAACCTTATCCGTTTTATAAGAGTCCATTCACTTTTGGTCCAATATCAGTTTGACAAGTAAGTGATTGTTTTGCAATCGTCTCAATCGATCTACTAAAATATCATTGAATTTTTTTGCTTAATTACAATACACGTATATCACAGACCTACAATATTTAGATGGTTTAAGAAATGACAGAAAAAGTAGACTGATTTTTCTCTCTAGTTAACTGGTGACATTGGAACTTTTTCAAATTAGGAACTAGGTCGTTTACGTTATTTGGTTTATATGTAAATACACTGTAAACAGTTTACCAAAATTTATAGTAGAATTTGATTAATACTGTTGGAGATTATAAGGGTGAAACTAATATTTTTCAGACTCTATCTAGTTCCTATGTTATTTGGAGGGAATGAGGTTTCTTCAAACCTTTTTCATCTATATCATTGGATAGAGTTTGAAAATTGAAAATTTAAATTGTTGAAAAACATAATTTATGCTGATCTGATTCAACCAAGATTAATAAAATAAATGAGTGAATCCGTGTCGAGGTATAAGAGTCATTTTATTAATTGATGCTCTATGTTAATTAATGTATTATATTATGGCGCAAATTGTAGGCTATATAGAGTTTGAAAATTGAAAATTTAAATTGTTGAAAAACATAATTTATGCTGATCTGATTCAACCAAGATTAATAAAATAAATAAGTGAATCCGTGTCGAGGTATAAGAGTCATTTTATTAATTGATGCTCTATGTTAATTAATGAATTATATTATGGCGCAAATTGTAGGCTATATAGAGTTTGAAAATTGAAAATTTAAATTGTTGAAAAACATAATTTATGCTGATCTGATTCAACCAAGATTAATAAAATAAATAAGTGAATCCGTGTCGAGGTATAAGAGTCATTTTATTAATTGATGCTCTATGTTAATTAATGAATTATATTATGGCGCAAATTGTAGGCTATATAGAGTTTGAAAATTGAAAATTTAAATTGTTGAAAAACATAATTTATGCTGATCTGATTCAACCAAGATTAATAAAATAAATAAGTGAATCCGTGTCGAGGTATAAGAGTCATTTTATTAATTGATGCTCTATGTTAATTAATGAATTATATTATGGCGCAAATTGTAGGCTATATAGAGTTTGAAAATTGAAAATTTAAATTGTTGAAAAACATAATTTATGCTGATCTGATTCAACCAAGATTAATAAAATAAATAAGTGAATCCGTGTCGAGGTATAAGAGTCATTTTATTAATTGATGCTCTATGTTAATTAATGAATTATATTATGGCGCAAATTGTAGGCTATATAGAGTTTGAAAATTGAAAATTTAAATTGTTGAAAAACATAATTTATGCTGATCTGATTCAACCAAGATTAATAAAATAAATAAGTGAATCCGTGTCGAGGTATAAGAGTCATTTTATTAATTGATGCTCTATGTTAATTAATGAATTATATTATGGCGCAAATTGTAGGCTATATAGAGTTTGAAAATTGAAAATTTAAATTGTTGAAAAACATAATTTATGCTGATCTGATTCAACCAAGATTAATAAAATAAATAAGTGAATCCGTGTCGAGGTATAAGAGTCATTTTATTAATTGATGCTCTATGTTAATTAATGAATTATATTATGGCGCAAATTGTAGGCTATATAGAGTTTGAAAATTGAAAATTTAAATTGTTGAAAAACATAATTTATGCTGATCTGATTTAACCAAGATTAATAAAATAAATAAGTGAATCCGTGTCGAGGAATAAGAGTCATTTTATTAATTGATGCTCTATGTTAATTAATGAATTATATTATGGCGCAAATTGTAGGCTATATAGAGTTTGAAAATTGAAAATTTAAATTGTTGAAAAACATAATTTATGCTGATCTGATTCAACCAAGATTAATAAAATAAATAAGTGAATCCGTGTCGAGGTATAAGAGTCATTTTATTAATTGATGCTCTATGTTAATTAATGAATTATATTATGGCGCAAATTGTAGGCTATCATTTAGAGAACATTATTCGCACAGCTGTTTTGTCAAAATTCAGTCTATTTCTTAGGTGTCATATTCTTACGTCTAGCGAAAATTATCTAAATTTTCTGTGGAAAAATTAAAATTCGATGGGATAAATAAATTGAAATAAGCTTGAGAAAATGTTGAAATATTAACATTGAAGCAATAATTAGTTTAAAATGTCGCATCACAAAACTGGGCACTTTTTTACATATAAAAAGTCGATCAGGTGGCAAGTTTATCTTAGAAAAAATATGTTCAAAATCAATTGAGTTATGATTGTTTAAAAATCGTTTTTTACAAGTCGTAATTTCAAAAAGTACATTTTTTTATATACAGGATGATTCCATAACAAGTGGTATTGTTTCTGGATTAGAAGGTACATCGTAAAATAATATAAAAGGTCCTATAATGCAATAGATGTTAAGAACTTTCCATATTATTTTGACTTACTTGGCGTCGAAGCAATATTGACATTGTTTTTTGATTCGAAAATTATTAAATTCTTAATGCACAAATTTGTATTTCCGGGCGGTTGAGGCACCGAAGATGCCCTTATTCCAACCTCGTTCCGGATACTGACTTTGAATCATTCATTCTCTGTCCTCGAAGAATCGAAGTGAACTTGCCATCTGCCATTATAAACTATACGAATATATAAAAAACTTACAACGAAACTGAAGTCTGGATGTCTCCCTTGTATGAAAACGTATTTACACAAATAAAACGAGAGTCCAGTAAATGGGTATACCTAGGAAGGTGAGTGCAAGTGGACCGCGTTCGATCAGCTATCACACCAAAGGGCGGTAAATCTCGTTCGGGTGACTGTTCTGGTTGCTGTTGTTCTGTCTCGACGAGCATTGCTGAAAAAGAAAAGCGAAATTAGTGACTGCTCGCAGTTTCTTCTTCAGGCGGTCCGGGGGCCCTAGCCTTTGGCTCCTAGTTCGTTTCAAAAATAAGGTTCCCCCTTTTTTCAGGCTCAAGGAATTTTGTATTTGAAAAAACAAAGTTACGGCGTTGGAAACCATATTTCTGAAACAACCCTCGTACGAGTCGCGGATAGGATTTGCCAAGGTGTAAGACACAAAACCTTGATGGGTTCAAGGGTAGAAGTCAACTGTCTGACCATTGACGAACAATCTACGCGTCATCGGGATCCGTAGAACACGTCAAAGACTGCAAGGTCACTTGTGTAAAAAAGGAAAAGCATGGGACCCAAGACTGTGCCTTGGGGAACTCCGCTTGCTGTGGTTAGAGTGAGAGCAAATGTTGATAGTTTAACTAATACGGTTCGTTCAGCTATTTCGGCGGTGATAGGAACGATACTTATTCGACGATAACGTTGTAAGTGTGTTTTCATCAATACGAGCCCCTTCCCAAGTTGGCCCAACTATTGAAATCTTAGTTTTTTTCTTATCAAACACAAATAATAAAAATGTAGCAGGGTGACTTCGAAGTTGAGTCATTTATTTTAACAGTGAGTAGATCTGATCAAAAGAAATGTTTTTTTCCTTTACCATTTTTCTGGTAAAATTAAAGTAACAAAGTTATAGTCCTTTGGAGGTTTGAGTACCGCCCTGTCTCAATAATAATATTATGTGCTCGTGTTTGGCAACAACGGATATAATCCGCCTTATCGGTTCATCGCATCGGAAACAAAAAAGCGAAAGAATTTGGAACGATGTTTTTACAATTATTTTATTCAGTTGTATACAGTCAGTGTCAGTCGGTAACGCGTGAGTGAATAGTGGTGTCTGTTGCGTGGCTCAAAGGAAATAAAAAATGGCACATGTTTATGCGGGTCGGTTTCCCAATCGAGTGCAACCAACCCCTCGTGCCTTTGTTAATGTAGTACAACGGGCTCGTGAATCAGGTGACTTAAGACCTCACAGGGGACGGCATGCCGGTGCTCCAAGACCTCACGATCAAATACAGGTCCGCACTGATACTTATCGGGAGGATACTTTATAAAACAAGGTAAATTTTTTTTTAATTTTTTTTTATTTTTACACACATATTTTGGTTTATCTTCCTTCTACAATCATTATCTGAAAATTAATGACTCAACTTCAAAGTCACCCTGTATAGTAGAAAACACCAACTTTATCACTCCCTAATCAAATTTGCAGCATAAAAATAACACATGTTGCAATTACAGCATATCAACCTATTTCCATTTCAATGCGAAATAAGTCTATAACGCATAGGTGGTTGTGAAATTTTATTGTATTGAACAATGAGTGCCACAATTATTCTATTAGAGGAAGTACAGACTTTCATTTACAAAACTGCAGTAGCAATATAACGAGCAAGTCAGTATTTCAAAAGGGATTGTACGAATTTAATAAATTAAGTAATGATATCAAGATGTGCGTCAGTTTGAAAATGTTCAAAGTGAAATTGAAAAAATATCTCATGGAAAACCAGAATTCATAGTAGTGAAATTTTGTATGAAAATATGTAGTCATAATATATTTTGTGATATACTGTGTAATATGGATATTATGGACATTATAGCATTAATGCTAAATAAATCCGAAACAAACAAACAGACACAAAGGAATATAATGCAATCATTATGTTAATTAATAACGTGCAGAAAGACACTAACATAACTCGTGTTTCATGGTAATTTGTAGCGAAAGTGAGAGTGATAAATCTACTTACCGCTTGTTTCTTCTCCCACACCTTCATGGCGGATTTGTATTTTTCGAACTCGTGACACCAGTCCGAGTAGATCTTCTGGTAGTCATTGCTTTTGGCTGGCGGCGAGCATCTGTGCGCGTCCACTGTGACGTTGAAAGAGCACAGGAGTGAAGCTCCCATCCAACAGTCGTACCTGTTGCAGAAAAACGAAGAGTGCATCAAAGGAAAACACGAGTTTCTCTATTTTAGATTGCTATTTTTTTATTGGATCATACTGTTATGTACAGGGTGTTCCATAACTTCGTAAATATATAAATAGTAAACATGCACCTTTTCAAATATAGTTTATATTATATACCATATTATGCCCTATATTTTATCGCATATTTGAATAGAGCTTCTACAAACGAGAAGTTTGAATATGGTTTTGTTTGTCAATTGTTTAGATATACATGGTGTTCGAAAAATAGACGGAGATATTTTAGAGTATGATTTTTTGGTTTTAAGTTTTAAAAAACATGGGTTCGGAAATGCAAAGTTTTCAAGATGGTGGGTAATGAATAAATTTTTCTTTATTAATATCTTAAAAAATATTTACTCGATTCTGTTGAAATTTGGCAATATTATTTGTTGTATTACGAGGATAATATTTGATTTTTTGTTTTCCAAGGTACTTGAGAGATCTTTCTAGCAAAAATTAATAAACCATTTTTGTCCAGTTACCCGAAAAAATTTAATAGACAAAGAAGTTGTAATTTCACTGATCAACAGCCAAAAAATATCCTAAATAAAATCAACAAAATATTACTATTTTTAATGTGCTAAAACCGGAATGAAACTTATTTTTTCAATATTAGTTCAAGTTTTAGAGATACTGTAATTATATGTGTTCCTGCTGTGACAGTGTTAATATACTGTAATTCACAAGAATGCACGTGCTACATTTTTATATTCGGCAAGGAAAGATGATGTAATCGGCATGATTGTGTTACGTTATACATACGTATGTACACGTGTACATTATATTGTTTTATATTAGCCATTTTTTCCTCAGTTGGCTGACAGCGTTCATGCAAGATATCTCGAAAGTGTGTAAACAATCCAGATCAGTTTTGTTACGTGTGTGGTGATGTGACTTTTGCGTCTCAGAGACGGTCTATTACTCCACTAATAACAAAGGCATATCAGCTTTATTTCGGTTGTAAACTAGGTGATCAAGACAAACAGTGGGCACCCCACATCTGCTGTAATACATGTACTTCAAGTCTGAGGAGCTGGTTAAATGGCAAAACGGTCTATGCGCTTTGCTGTCCCAATGGTTTGGAGAGAGCCTACAAATCATATTAATGATTGTTACTTTTGCATGGTACCTTGTGTTGGACAAGCCACAGGTATGTCCAAGAAAAAAAAATCGGTTATTAACTACCCAAACATACCATCTGCGATGAGACCTGTGCCTCACAGTGACGAAAATCCTATTCCAAAACCCCCAGAATCCTCTACACTTGCGAATCAGAAAACGAATTAGATCATGGCGATCGAGTGATTCGTCAGGAAGAAGATATGCCATCAACGTCAAGAGATCCTGATTTTATACCGAGCACGTCATGCCACCAACCGCACAAAATAACACAGTCAGAATTAAATGATCTTGTAAGAGATTTAGAACTTCCAAAACTTCCAGAGTTACTTGGATCAAGACTGCAGCAGTGGAACTTGTTAGAAGACGATGTTTCGGTATGTATTTTTCGTAAACGCCACAAAGACTTAGAACCATTTTTCAATATGGAGAATAACTTGGTTTTCTGCAATAACATTAACGGCTTACTGGCGGCTTTAAATATAAACTATAACAGAAGAATGGAGATTGTTTATAGACAGTTCAACATTGAGTTTAAAGACAGTGTTATTACATATTGGAAATGTTTTACCATCTCTTCCTGTAGGGTATGCAGTTCACATGAAAGAATCATATGACAATATGAAGTACCTATTGACATGCATAAAATACGATAAGCACCAATGGCATATTTGTGGCGATTTGAAAGTTGTTGCACTTTTACTTGGGCTGCAGCTAGGCTACACAAAGTTTTGCTGTTTTTTGTGTGAATGGGACAGTCGGACAAAGGCACTTCATTACATCAGACTGGCCTGTTCGTGAATTCCTAGAGCCAGGTCAAAAAAATGTACAGCATATGCCATTAGTAGATTCGAAAAAATTTTTATTACCACCACTGCATATCAAGTTGGGCCTAATGAAAAATTTTGTCAAGGCATTAGATAGAGATGGGTCAGCTTTTAAATACCTGCGTCAGAAATTTCCAAGACTAAGTGAGGCAAAGGTTAAAGAAGGTATTTTTGTTGGGCCACAGATTCGAAATATTTTGAAAAATACACAGTTTGAAAACACTTTAACAGGTATTGAAAAAACTGCTTGGAATGATTTCCGTCTGGTGGTCACTAATTTCTTGGGAAATAGAAAAGCTGACAAGTATAAACCCTTGTCAAAAATATGCTGGCATCGTATCAAAAGATGGGCTGCAATATGTCTCTTAAGATACATTTCCTACACTCACACCTGTACTTTTTTCCTGACAATTGCGGAGCGCTAAGTGATGAGCACGGCGAACGTTTTCATCAGGATATTTCAACAATGGAAAAAAGGTACCAGGGAAAGTGAAATCCTTCCATGCTTGCAGACTACTGTTGGACTCTTGGTAGAAATGCTCCAGAAACGATCCATAAAAGAACAGCAAAAAGACAGCGCATATAGTGATTCTTATAAGTATATGAATCTTGTTACTTTTTTTAATATATCCTTAAAAATAAAAAGTTTTTTTTCTAAACCGCTACTAATTTTTTTACTTCATTGTCATTTTTGGATTCAGCGCCCCAAAATTAACAAAGAAGTGCACTTTTCCCACAAGATACAATTAAAAAACTAAAATTTGTTGTCCAGTTTTTAGATGCCTCATCAAACAACAAATATTAAAGTTACAAAAAGGCACTTTTTTGCCAATAATAGTCGCTGAAATAATATTGCAAAATCTCAACAGAATCGGGTAAATATTTTTTGAGATATTGATGAACATTTTTTTTCAATTTATCACCCGGTTTATAGAAACTTTTTTTATATTTTTTAGCAAGGACCACCCTTTAAAATATCTCCGTCTATTTTTCGAATAACCTGTATAGTGAAAAATGGCTAATTTTGACTCGAAGCTCCGCTATTTAAGAAGATACGCCGTTTCAGTTCACAACATTTTTATTATCAATAATATTTAGCTGAACTAAAAGTAATGCCAAAATATATTTCGTAAAAATTATTGTGGTTGACTGCCATTGAGGCAGCGTTGAATTTCCTATTTCAATTCAAGAATGTCTCCGGGTTTATTGACATATACCTTTGATTTCTAATAACTCAATAAAGAGAGTTAAATTGAGTTATAATTCGGAATCTATGCACCTGGTTTATCCACGAAACTAAATAGTTTTAATGTATTACAGAAGCAGAGGAATATATTCAGGATGATGCTAAAAAATATGGATTAATCTTTTCATACAAAGCATCAAGGTTTCGCAGCGAAAACGTAAACGTATAGAATTTTTTGTTTCATTCTATGCGACTATCGAGGTCTCCACCAAAAATTTACCGTATTTTTAAATGCCAGATTTTTATTTTTACGTTTCATACTATTGTACAAAATTTTCATCTTCGTTCTTCGAACGTATGAGCGAATAAATTTCGGTACTCATTAGGAAGTTACAGCGTCTACTTAAAGCATCGTCGTGAAAGAAATCTGTCTCTTCGTGGAGTTGAATTAGGGGTAGAAATGGGCCTCCTGTAGGTCCTAATCGGCATAACTGACTTAACTGAGGATGCAGCCTTGTATAGTTCTGAAATTTCTCTATGAAACCTTATGAGATTGTAGGAAAAACTTTACTTATACAATGACTTGTATACAACAACTGGAAGACCCAAACTTATATTTTCAAAAAATAAACCTCCATACCTTCCAGCATCTGCCTCAGTAACAGCAATGATCACCAATCCATGTTCTGAAGTCTCGATGTACTTGTCTGGTCTGTACTGTATCTTGTATCGTCCCTTTTCCTTGGAATAATGATACCAGGTGATGGTTTGCGAAGCCAGCACGGCCGGCATCTTCAAAAAGCAGCCTAAATGGAGGCTTTGACCCCAAGTTACCACCATTTTCTTCTTCACTACACTGCTGTCGCAGACGTCTGCTGTGCTGTTTGAAACATCTTGCAGAAGGCTGCAATACGAGATAAAAGTGACGGTCGTTTTTAAGATATATCAACGTGTCAGCTTTATTCACGTGTATTGATGTTCAACACTTTTTAATCTCGCACTCGCAGGAAAAGCTTTCCAGCTTGATTTTTTACATAAGCACGTTTGTTGGATGCAAGGTTTCCATTTTGTATAACTCAGGCCCGACAAAACTTGGTGTCGTTCGATAAAATCCTAATATCTTAACATGAACCAGAAACACGGAGATACTCACCCTGGCGAATAAGGTTTGCACACATTCATATCCTTGTCCCATCCGCAATAAGGATCGTGGACACACCGCAAGCAGTTATCGTACCGCCTGTTGCACATCACCAGATCCACTTGTTTCACTCTATGGTCGGAAGCGACATAGAGCGCCTTGTGCTCTTTTGAAATTTCCATCACTTGGATTGGTTCGCCGGGGGTGACGTCGAACACGTCCAGGAGAATGGAGGAGGAAGAGTCGTCTTTCTTCCATTCCACTATTTTGTGAACGCGACCGTCATCTGTGGACAGAAGATTATCAGGTGAAGATGTGTTATCAATAACTTACTTCCATATGGAAACTGAGAAGTTCTCTGTTCTCTCATATCAGGATGTTATATTATGATGATTATTAGATGAGTTTTCGTAATGCCTTTTAACAATACCAACACGTACATAGTTATCGATAGAGCAATGCTTGACCTTGAAAGTGAATTTGACCTTGAACATGACCTTAAAGGTCTAACCAAGGTCAATTTTTTCGGCCTCGTAAACGGATGTGATTCAGATGTCACCTTGAGAAACAACATTTTGACTTTGATCATCCTAGGATACAGTTCAGATATGATTTTTGATGAAAATTTTCTTGTCTTTTGAAAGCTATAGTTTTGATCGTTCAAAAAGAATTCAGGGATTTTTCTGAAAATAAAGCTGGCGTTTTGTTGATGACATTGAAATTGACCTTGACGATAAAAATCAAGACTTAGACCTTTGTTTTGCATGTCGCACTATACTTTTGTCGTCACAACGGATAGATCGGGCAGTTTTACTTTTGGACATGACCTTGAACACGTACGTTCAAGGTAAAATATTTTAAACTAAGGTCATATCCGAACGTAAAACTTTTCACTGTATACGTATCCACGGTTAAAATTATATAGTCATATTTAAGCAAATCGCCTTGATCTTGATTCGACCTTCGAGATCCAAACCAAGGTCAATACTTTCAACCTCAGAAATGGATAGAACGGGAAATCTTACACTAGACGTGACCTTGAAAAACAACTATTTTGACATAGAACATCGTGTGATAATGTTGGTTTTTACACCCTGTATAACACCTTGAGCTTGACATTGCATTCTACCCTGAGCATGACCTTGAAGGTCAGACCTCGGGATCGGATACAGCGGGAAATTTTATGTTCAAATGACATGAGGAAATTATTTTGACATTGAACGTTCTGATTAAAGTTATCGTCAAAAGTCCTCGTTTGAAAAAATTTTAGCAACGTTTTTGAAGAAAAAGCAGATATACGAGCTTGAAGGCAGCAGAGAGATTCAAATTTTCCACTGGATATTCACTGGTAACATTGAAAAGGACCCTTTAAACTCAAATCAAAATCAACCCAATTTTTACTGGCATCATCTTTGACCGCGGAAACACAGCCAAAAAGTTACGTTCAGATATGATTCTTGATGAAAATTGTTTTGAATTTTTAAAGCCATCGTTTTGACCGTTCGAAAAGAATTCAGCGATTTTTCTGAAAATAAAGCTGGCGTTTTGTTGATGACCTTGAAATTGACCTTGACGATAAAAATCAAGATTTAGACCTTTTTTTTGCATGTCGCACTATACTTTTGGCGTCACAACGGATAGAGCGGGCTGTTTTACTTTTGGACATGACCTTGAACACGTACGTTCAAGGTAAAATATTTTAAACTAAGGTCATATCCGAACGTAAAACTTTTCACTGTATACGTATCCACGGTTAAAATTATATAGTCATATTTAAGCAAATCGCCTTGATCTTGATTCGACCTTCGAGATCCAAACCAAGGTCAATACTTTCGTCCTCAGAAATCGATAGAACGGGAGATCTTACAGTAGACGTGACCTTGGAAAACAACTATTTTGACATAGAACATCGTAGTCGAGGTCTTTGTCAGAAATAATCGTTTAATAAGATCTTAGCAACGTTTCTGAAGACAATACAGGAATTGCAACCTAAAGGCAGTAGGGGTTTGACTTTTTCACCAGCGACCTTGAAACTGACCCTGGCCGATACATTTCAGTTCAACTCAAGGTCAAGCGGTCAAGTTTAAGCACCTGATAAGATGGAGACAGGAAATTTCCGGATCTATGCGTTATACCAACTATTTTTACATTTTTACTTGCTGAATTTGCCCTTGAATTAGGTTCTTTCCAATAAATTTTCAACAATATTGTATAGATCAGCAATAGCACACTAGTCAGAATGGAGTTGCGCTTATTTTTACACCTTGTATAATATCTTGACCTTGACATTGAATATGGACTTGGGCATGACATCGAAAGTCAAACCAAGGCCAAGACTATCGATCTCGGAAACGGATAGAGCGGGAACATTTACTTTCAGATATGACCTTGGGAGAAAATTCTGACCTTGAACGTCCTGAACAAGGTTATCGTCAAAAAACTTTTTTCAAGATGAAGCATAAATAGGAACCTAAAAGCAGCAGAGATCTGAATTTTCCTCAGGTTATTTCTTGGTGACCTTGAAACTGATCACAGTACTTTTAACTGCAAAAATAAAGCGAAAAATTTTAGACATGATCTCTGATGAAAATGTTTTTTTGCACCCTGGTCAAGGTCACAGTAAAAGTACCCTCATTTGAAAAGAATTAAGGGATCGTTCTGAAAAATAAGGCAAAAATAAGGACTTTAAGGGATGACCTTGAAATTGACCTTGCCGATTAAAAGCAAGATTCAGATATTGTTTTGCATGTCACACTATACTTTTGACCTTGGAAATGCATAAAGTGGACAATTTTACTTTAAGACGTGACCTTGACCAATAACGTTCTAGGTCACAATACTTTTCACCCAAGGAAAACAATTCCGTTGTATCCGAACATAAGGTTGAAAGTAAGGAGTTCCATTTAAAAAATGCCTTGATCTTGATTTGACCATTGGACAGTCACTTTGAGGGACTTTTGGATCACCCTGTATGAAACTTACTTGTTCCGGCGTAGTAAACAATATAATCCAGTACGGCTCCTCCAATATCGACTTTGATCTTATCCACGACCAATCTGGTGAAGAAGACGTCTCGTTTGAAGAACACAGGTTTCTCATTTTCATGCATCACAGCAGAATCCATCAATGGGTGGCTCCTGATGAAGTTCAATACCGTGTCCGGGAGAGTCTCGGTGTCGTTGACGCACGTCCCAGGTCTGGGCTCTGGAACCCTGCGGAAAAAATATGACGTCAAGTAGACATTCTTTCCCTGCCCTAGCGGTAATACAAGCGAAAAAATGAAATTTATAAAGATTGAATAACGTAGATCGTAGATGGTAAAATCGGGCAAATTCTTACCTGTTAGACAGAACTGGCAACCATGCAGAGGAGGACGAAGCTTGTTCTTTGAATTTCCCGCTAAAAGCTGCCTGAATATCTTCCAGGGTGAAAGAACAGATCGCGGATCCCATAAGACCATTAGTGGACGTTGTGAAGGTACCATAGAACTTTGTGTCATCTCCTGGAACCTTGTAGATGCTTTCTGAAAATGCAAAAAAAGAAAATTGCACCTCGTGAATACAGAATTACAGAATAGTTTTCAGTTTATGAAAATAGACAATTTAAAACGCTGTTTTCAGTTTTGTAGTTCGAATTTTTCGGCGTGAAAAGATCGACGGTTATGGTGACGTCAATTTCTGCATTCTGCCATCATTGATTTCAAACAAGTGATTTCAGTTTTTAAATCTTCTTCCTTTTAATCTTTTTATCATACACATTCAACCTTATTTTGAAACATCGACTTCAAATAGGCAGCTATTTTTAATCACGATTGAACTCACGTATCTCGTTGAAGTAGAACGGGAACTCCCCAGGGATAGAGCAGTTGAGCCTGGCTTTGAGATAAGTCGCCCAGTTCTGCGACAGGATGTTCTTGCCTCCAGTGTCTCTCTTGCATACTCTGGCTACCCTGGAATAGACGCTCTTGCCGCAATTGATGTACTCGACGGCGGTCTCACGGAAGAAGAAGAATACGTACTCGCCGATTTCGAAGGAGCCCACAAAGTTCGGTTCTGGAACAAAAAAAAGATACAATGTTATGCGATGGGATCCCGCGAAAACCTTGCTCCTGTGTGCCGAGCGCAACGAAAATAGCAAATAAACCTGTCACGAGGTGACCGCTGCGGTTGACGAGATTATATTTGTAATATGTAAAGGATGTATAGTTGTGATCTCAGACTTTGTTAACCAACATATTTAGCTAGAAAACGATTATAACACACGTTAGTAGACGCTGCTTAGCTAAGAAAATTGGCGGCGGTGAGGATCTGCTGTAGCGATATTACAGAATTGCAGCTTTATTTAAAGGGGCTAATTTGTGCTGCACATAATATTTTATGGAATGTAGACAGCGTTACACGGAAAGCGGAGAGCAAACACTTGACGCCGTTGCTTATCTCAATGACGATAATGCGACTGTAAGGAATAGAAGAGCTGATGTTCCATTGCCGTGTTTCCTCTTTTCAATTTAGTCTACGACTGCATCCCCAACAACAAATCGAGGAATCGATCCAGTTGATTTGGTTCAACCGAAGCTCGCGAACGGCTGCTATCCAAGGCGACAGCCGTGAAGTGTACGAATTAGTTTTTTAGCTATCGGAATTGTCTTGAATACCGTCTGTCTCGCCGGGTTGAATCCCCAGAGACTTCAGCGATTGTATAAAAATAGAGAGTTCTCTTCAGAACACTTACGTACACTGGGTCGGTTGAACAAAGAAACGTAAACTTGCAGGTTTCTTTGAATTCGAGTGAATAGAAGTGCCAAATATATGCGTTTATTTACTGGCGATTCGCTGTTTCCTTACTAATTAATTCATAGTTTTGAAATGCAATTCGCGCGGCCAAATCTAGGAGCGATTGGGACACCCTGTATATAACTTTCTTATTTCACGATTTCGTATTACACAACATGAGAAAGAAAACCCCTATTTTTGTATTACATGCTCCCAATCCTCGAGTGGCATTAGTTTGGAACATTCCTTTTCGTAGACCGATGAAACGTAATCCCGCTCTCATCCCGAGTGGCACCAGGGAAGGAAACACGCACAAGCCAAGACGAGGAAGGGAAGAAGAACTATTTTCCTGATTTACCTTTTCCTTGCTTCCCCGTAGCCCAACATTCTTTAATTACTTACGCAGTACGTGAGGGGAATCTACGACTATAACAAAAGAAACCGACTTTTTGTAGATAGGGTCTTTTGTTTTTATTTCTGATACTACTGCCGAGGAGTATTGTAAACTTTTTGGATGAAAATTGGGATGTATATTGCAACCCTAGTATGAGCCAGAGGTGTTTTATTACTCAGATATGTGTGATCCCGTTGGTATTATCACAGCCGACGTCAACTACGAGCCGTGAACAAAGAAATCTGGCAACGTAGGTGGTAGTGTTACTCCCGCCGCTGCTTGCTGCATCGACGCAACTCGTGCTCAAAACGCTGAGAAAACATAATCTTTTCAATTTGTGATTTTGGAATCTCAGAGGCTGTAATTAAGAGATAAGCTTGTTTTCTAAGCTTCAAAGTGTGTGTATGTGTTCAAAGTGATCGGTGACTATAATATATGAGAAATAGACTCCAGTTGTAGTGCATCTGTGCATTAAAAATAAACTAAGGAGTGTGACTGTGGCTGTTCGCGCCTCAGGACGCTAAGGATTTCAACTATTGAAAACGTGCAAATTCAGGTTGTATTTTTCTTTTTTCATTAATCAAGTATTCGACGCAGACAATATGCCTCGTTGTTGCTGTGTTCCTTTATGCAATGCAAACTATAATTCTGCCTTGAAAACAGAAAGCTATGTTTCAACTTTTCGCTTCCCAAGTACCGAAAGTCTGAAAAACAAATGGCTTATGGCAATTCCCAGAAAAAATTGGACACCTTCAAAATATTCAGCTGTGTCCAGTCGTCATTTTAGAGAATCGGATATCATCAGGACAGAAAATATAGTTTTGGTGGATGGAACAGTCCAAAATAATATACCTTTGAAATATCCAAAATTGAAAGAAAATGCTGTTCCCTCCATTTTCCCAAACTTGCCATCATATCTTTCAAAAACTGAAGCACCCAAAAGAACTGACCCAATGCAAAGAAAATAAAAATTAATTGAGAAACATGAAAAAGCTATCCAGAATTTCGATGATATGGATAAGATCAAAGATAAATTTAGTTCAAAAATGAGGATTTGAAGTTATTTGTGTTGTTACTGATAATCACCGAATTAATAGAGCAATGTTCAGGAAATTAGCAAAGGATTCATCAGAAAATTATTCTATTCCAAATCCACATAATCCTGATAAGAACATATATTTAACTTATGATGTTGTGCATATTATCAAGAGCATTAGAAATAATTGGATTAATTTAAAAAACCTAGACAAAACTTTTGTATATCCTAATTTTGACAATAATGATATTATTCAGTATGCTAAATTTGAAAACATTCGTGCTGTATATCAATTGGAAAAAGAAGCTGTAGTTAAGAAAGCATATAAATTAAATTATAAAACATTGCATCCAAATTCATTTGAAAGGCAAAATGTAAATTTTGTAGATAATTTATTCCACCGCTCAACAATAGCTGCTATGAAAGAATTAAAGTTTAATGATGCTGCACACTTTTTGGAAATAATCAGGAATTGGTGGGATATTGTCAGTAATACAAGTGTAATAAAAGGAGAATTGAAGCGAAACGAATTTTGTAAGCCTATTACCAATAAATATGATTATAGAGTACAATTTTAAAAAAAGTTAGAAAAATGGCATAATCTAGAGAATAATAATGGACACCTGACACCAGAAACGTATACAGCTCTATATCAAAGCACTCTACTTAATATAATTGAATATTCATTTAATCAATTTGACATTGAGTATGTATTGCCTGGAAAATTCACCACTGATAATTTAGAAAAACGATTTGGCAATTATAGACTTTTATTTGGCTGCAATTACAATGTGTCATATGATGAAATTTTAAATGCTGAAAAGAAAATTCGGCTGAAGCATATTTTCAATGAAAAGAAACCGTCATTTTCTTTAGCAGAAATTAAAACAAGGTTCCAAAACTGCTTAGAAACTCAAGAAAATTTTGATTTCTTGGATACCAAACAAAATCCTGAAGTTTTGGATATATTCAATGGAGTATTTGAGACAAATTACTTAGTCAATTGTGACATAGAGGATGGTACTAAGACTTATATATCTGGATATACTTCACACGCTATCTCTAAAAACCTAAACTGCGAGATATGCAAATCGCTAATAGTTAAAGAAAAAGGTTCATTAACAACAAATGTTTATTTTGATCATTTGCAAAGAGGAGGACTGTCAATTCCATATTCTACCATATGTATGCCATTTTTGAATCTATTATTAATCTAGATAGATTGGAAATTTTCTTCTTGAAAAGCAATAATCAAAATTTTATTTTGTGTCATTTTTTCAAACATAATTTTGAATGATTATTTAAAATGAAAAATAACAGTAAAACTGAAAGTACATGTATTAAAAACAAACAGGTAACTCCACATTTCCAAGCTGGGCCTGTTGGAACACAGTGTGCTGACACCAAAAAACGTAAACTAAATACTTTTAATAAGGTTAACTGCATTAGCGACTCATATATATCACGATTATTTCGTATTTTTAAATTTTTTAGAGCTATTTCATATTCAGACGATTTGTATCGAATCGAACTGTCCTCTTTTCCAAAATTGATGCTGTTTTCGGCATTTCGGTAGGAATACCGAAAAATCGGTAGGTTAGGCAACACCGTCTCCAGGGAAACAGGTGGCGCCACCATGTGACAAACTTCAACGGTGTCGCCATCGTTTATCGTGGAGCTCCCACTTCTTCAGCGTCATGTGTTCTGTGGTGCGAATCTGCTCGATTTACACCATTTCGTACGTAATAAGTGTTGCCGAGTCGTCACTGATTTCGAAAAGGGTTTTGTCAACATCAGTGTTAATCAGGTGTGAAATCGCAGTGCGGTCAACCCGTCATGGTTAAAAAGGGACAAACCGGGGTGGTCAGGGTTGGACGGGAGAAGTAGGGGGCGATTACCGCTTTAGCAGCGCCAGCGAACAAGGGCGGTGGCGATCAGAGGCAAGCAAATTCACCATCGCTATTCGCCGATCCAATTAGAGGCTGGGAATATTCAAGCGTGCCAAGCGGTGCGAAAGCTTAAGATAATTAAATCATAGGGTGCGCTGGACTGCATCGGTGACCTTTACGCCATTTATGCTCGTCGTCGCCATCGAGGAACTTTGCGCGGGCACGATGTCATTCAAAGTAGATACAGGGTGTTCAGCAATAACTTCTTGTCAGCCTTTTCACGGTTTTTCGCAGTAAAACTGCAGGACTTATGGTATATCTGAAGTCACTTGAAATAGCATAAAAACCTTTGGTCGGCGCGTCCGTTGTAATTTCATGACGTATCATAGGCGTGCGGTCAATTATTTAGAACGATAATAATAATGTTTTTATATCACAATAAATGGATTTTACTGTCTTCTTATTTTTTTGATTTGGGATAAAAAATACTTATATTGGGAGTTTAATTTATGTTGACTGAAAGTTAAGAAATGGAAAAATTACAGAATTCCAACGTTTGACATAGGCAAATATTTACATAGCAGGTAGGTATATAAAAAGGTATATAAAGACTTACATTATAGATATTTATATATCATTCTCGCCTTCGGAGCTGTCGCTAGAGTCATCTTGTAGAGGAATTACAACGGGATTTACAGGAGGCAAAACACAATATTCATTTTCTTTTTAATAATATGTCTAGAACACTGCTTCCATAGGTCTGTGGCAGCAATATGAGATACTGCATCTCTTATTGTGGCCAATAGCGATTCACTTAATTGAGGGGTCTGATTATGTTTTCTTACTTTTTTTTTAAAGCAGCCCAGACCAACTCAATCGGGTTAAAAATGCAGTAATAGGGAGGTAGACGTAATACTTCATGGCCATTTTGCTGAAGCAGATTGTCAACAATATACTCTTT